AGGTGACGCACGATTTTGACATCGCATCGATACATCTTTCAAAAAAACGTCTCTAAAAAAACCGCACACTACTTTTACATAACCCGAAAATCAACGATAAAGCAAGTAAAAAAGTCAAAATCAAAGTCAAAGTCAACGTTAACGTCAACGTCAACGTCAACGTCAAAGTCAACGTCAACGTCAACGTCAACGTCAACGTCAAATTCAAGTCAAAGTCAAATCTAAAGACAAAGCATAGCCAAATAATTTATTACCTTAACAATTTTTTGAAAACAATCAAGTTAATCCCCATACATCTAAAAACCATAGAATAAAAATGCAAAATGACAAGGTATAATGTGTACAGAGATGGATTAAGCCTAAAGAGCCGCCTAGACAAGCACCTCATTGGCGCCCCTAATATTTTAGTCCCCGCCGTCACTCTATGTGCAGTTGTGCACGCGCGTCTCGCGGCGCCCCTCTGTAACCTGGCGCCCGGCACTTGTCTACAGCGCCTCAGGGATAATACGACTCTGTATATATCATTTGTAAGGGTAACTCACCTCAGTTCCTGTTCAGTGACAGCCAATGTTCTTCCACAAGCTGCTGCTTTGACAGCGAGGTGGTCGTACTCGCTTGATTGAGCTTGGAGTTGCGATTTCAATTCTGTAATATTATTTAGTGATGCTTTTTTATATAAATAAGTAGCGGACCCAACAGACGTTGTCCTGCATATCCACTTGAATGTATAAACAAAAATTCATTCAAATTAGTTCAGCTGTTTAGGATAAGTAACCTAAAAATCGACTGCAGCGCCATCTGCCGGGCTGATTTGTGAATCTAAACCATTCCCAGATCCCCTTGAACACACACAAAAAATTTCATCAAAATCGGTCCAGTCGTTTGAGAGAAGTTCAGTGACATACACACTCACAGAAGAATTATATAGAGGTATATAAAGATGAAAATTAAAAATCAATGAGGTAATTTAAAAAATTGGACTCGTATTTTTTTATTTTTTCGTAAAAAAAACCCTTAATATATAAGATAAAACCAATCAAAGTTTAGGAGTGGGGGCTAAAACGTCATTTCTACGTATAAAATGTACATAGAAGTGACGTCACGCGATGTTTCAAATCAATATATCGTCGAAAGTATTTGTTTGTGTAAGAAAATAAAAAATACGTGTCTAATGTTTTTAAATAATCATTCTAATTATTAATTTTCTTTTTTATATTAGATGGGTCTATCGTTTGACCACTATCTCGCCTGGTGGTAAGCGATGATGCGGTCTACGATGGAGCACGTCATCCCATAAGCAACATATTCACTCGGGCCTTGAAGACAAAATAAAATAAAATTTTCTTACCGGCTATTTCTTCTATCAACTCCTTCTCCCTTTTAACTCTCTCTTCTTCTCCCTCCTGTCGGCACTCCGTCTTCATTCTCGCTAGGCAATTCTCTTTGTCCTCCATAAATTGTTCCCATTGGTCATCTGTAGTTTAAAATGTTAGTTTAATTAAAAAATTATCTTGCCTTATACTGCAAGTTTTTTGCCAACGTAGATGTCTAATTCTTTCAAATCAATGTATCGTCGAAACTATTCGTTTTTGTATGAAAATAAAAAATACTTGTCTAATGTTTTAAAATAATCTACCAGACGGACATTAGAATAAAAATTAGTCATCTACCCAATTTCTAAATCGTCTGCCAAGCATGGGGATTAAGGTAAAATCTTCTCTAAAGATAACAATGACATACCCATCTCCTGTCGATGTTGTTCCTTCAGTTTGTTGACCTGTTCCATCCTCTCTGCGATGAGCTTCAGTCTAGTAGATTCTAGAAGGTTCTTTGCTTCATCAGCTGCTGTAGCTGCTTGTTCTTCTACTTCTCTTAACTTCTCTGTCCATTCTTCTATTAAACTTTCTGTTGATTTGAAAACAATATTTGTGAACTAGCCTCAGACAGCCACTTAAGGGAAGCAATATCAAGAGTTAGATTTTTGCTGATCCCAAGTAAAATTATATTAAGAATTTCATCTTTCCTTTAGCGTTACCCTGAGCTAACGACGCGGACGTACAAAGTTTTGTAGCTCCTCTTTTTATATATAATTTTTTTATTTATTTTATGTTCGAATTTTTTTTTCATTTTGTTTTTTTTTTACATTTTTTTTTAATATTTTTATTTCTATTGATTTTTTTGTCAATTACAACTTTTTTCAAATTTCTTTTCAAATTTAAATTTATCGCACTTTTTTTTTACTTTTCATTTGGATTGAACATTTTGTTAATTTTTGATCATCATCATCATCATCAACAGCCTATAAATGTCCACTGCTGAGCAAAGCCTCTTCTCACACGGAGAAGGTTAGAGCATTAATCACCACGCTTGCTCAATGCGGGTTGGCGATTTCAAACTTATAATTAGAAATTATAAGTCCAGGTTTCCTCACGATGTTTTTCCTTCACCGTTTGTCAGTGGTGTCTAAATAATCTTAGAAAGTACATATAACTCGGAAAAAGTCACATTGGTACTTGCCGTTGGTAGGTTTCGAACCCGCACCCTCATGCATGAGAAGTGGGCGTCTTAAACCTCCGGGCCACCACGACGAGCTCAATTTTTGATCAACTTTCTTAAGTAAAAAATATGCATATGCACAGAGCTTAGACCACAGTTCTTAGGATTGCACCAGGAGAGGCAAGAGACTCCAACTTCAGACCTTGGCGCCACTCAGAATTTGTCGCTCTGGGCCATCGCCCCATCACGCCCCCCCTTAACGCCGGCACTGAATCTACCCCTGTTCCAAATTTCATCTCGATCCCTTCAGTCGTTTTGACTTTATTGAGTAACAAACATACAAACATACACACATACACACATACACACAAACTTTTCGCAACTTTCTTATACAGTTTTGTTTAGCTTGCCCTGTTTGTTTGTTTAGGTCTTTAGTAATTGTAATTCCACCCCCTTCCTGACGACAGATCGATCTGATATTTGGTACACACTCTTAATCTTGATGACCATACAATATAATCTAATTTCTTTTACAACTACCTTTACTGTGTGTACCACACTTCAAGTGTGGGAGAGCCATGCTTCGGCACGAATGGGCCGGCTCGACCGGAGTGATACCACGGCTGAGCAGAAAACAGACGTGAAACAACGCTTGCGTTGTGTTTCGTCGTGTGAGGGAGGTTACCGGAGGCCCAACCTCCTTCCCCAGTATCCCCAATCCCCGAATTGCCTATAATCCTCAAACTCCTAATTCCTATAAGGCCGGTAATGCACTTGTAAACCTCTGGTGTTTCGGGTGTCTATGGATATCAAACGAAAGGGCTAAACTAATATAGTAATATTTACCTCGACTGCCTCGTTGGCCGAGTGGTCGCAAGTGCGACTGCCGGGCAAGGGGTCTCGGGTTCGATTCCCGAGACGAGCAAAGCATTACTACATTATTACATGGGACTCATGACATTAATATTGAAAAGTGGGTGTTTCATTGTACAGTAGCATAATGTGCACCTCTGCCTACTCCTTCGGGAATGATATGTTATGTAACATTTACCTTTCTCTTTCTCGAATCTCTCGCTCATCTCTTCAACTTTGTTGGCATAGTTGATGTCTGCTTTGTCCAGCATATGTCGAAGTTGCATAATGTCCCAGTCGGCCTTGCTATGGGCCTCAGCTATGGCTCGCTCGTATTGACTCTCTTTGTTTGCTAGGACTTCCTTTAAGTTCTCCAACTGAAATAGAATTGTTTATTTCATTAGAATCGGAGCTATCATAAAATTATGTATCGATAATCTTCAAGTGACCTTTTTTTTATTTAAATAACGTTGCCCCACATTAGGATTTTCTACTGTGTCGTGGGTGCGTTTACAAACATAGAAGTTCACATACACAATGACACCCAGACCCGAAACAACAATTTGCGGATCACACAAAGTGTTGTTCCGTGCGGGAATCGGAACCCGGGACACGTAGCACGGCAGCCGGAAAACCATAGTGAAACAACGCTTGCGTTGTGTTTCGTCGTGTAAGTGAGTTTACCGGAGGCTCAATTACCCTCCTCTTCCCCAATCTCCCCAATTCCTGAATCCCCAACGATCCTCAAACTCCTAATCACCAAAAGGCCATTAACGCACTTGTAACGCCTCTGGTGTTCCAGGTGTCCATGGGCGACTATGCTTACCATCAGGCGATCCGTCTGCTCGTTTACCGGCTTATGCCATAAAAAAAAGACACAGACCCGGAACAAATATTATGTGGAGCACACAAAGAGTTTCTCCGTGTTGGAACACGCTACACGATGCGTGGCAGCCGCGACAACCATGCAATTAAATTGTGCATTTGCATAGGCACGACACCAAGACAATTATTCATGTCCCTGGGACGCGCCGGACTTCAGTGTTCCGGTGTTTGCATGGTTGTATCTACTGTAGATCCTGGCTTACAGGAGTTGCAGCGGTTTTGGGAGGTTGTGGCGAACTTGTCCCAAAAAAATTCTGTTATTATCGTATTATTATTTTGTTACACTGTGATGTTTTTTGTTCTGATCTTTATTATTTTAAGTTTATTATTACGTTAGTATTTTGTTTACATATCTGTATTTTTATTTTTTTATATTATCTTTGTTTAGTGTGCTAATTGTCAAATAAATGTTTTTTATACATACATACATACATCACGCCTTTTATCCCCGAAGAGATAGGCAGAGGTGAACATTACGGCACTAAATGCCACTGTAGAATGTAACACCCACTTTTTACTATTTATGTTATGAGTCCCATGTAATAGGGGGTGAGTCTATTGCCATATACCGGACACATTTCCAGACTCCGTGCTACTACTGAGATTTTTAAAAACTCAGTAATACTTTGCCCGACCCGAGAATCGGTCTCTAACTCTAAATGTTCTTTCTTTCTTTCTTTCGGAGATAAAAAGGCGTGATATTATGATGATGATGACATTATTGCAACATCAAAAATTGCTAAAATCAAACTAAAATCATTGCTTACCCTTGCAGTAACCTCTCGGAGCTTTCTATCAGCATTCCTGGCATCTTGTTGTGCCTCAGCACGTAACTGGGCGAGCGCTGCACGGGTACGCTCAGCATGACTCCTTTCAAGCGCTGCTCTCGAACTAGCTGCCGCAGATTGGAGATCTGATCGTAGAGTTTCTAGAGATTTCGAGTGCTCATCTTTGAGGTGTTGTATTTCCTAGTGGAGATAGGGTAAATTGAGATTATAATGCATGGTAACTTGACAAAGTTGTGGTATGTAACTATGTAGGTAAGGGGGCGTCCATAAATTACGTGAGGTGTTTTTTTTAATAGTCTGTCCCTCTCTCCTCCCTTGGTGAGATTTCGTGGGATTTTATTCACCACCCTCCCATCTCATCCCATCCCATCCCCCAATCTCACGTGGGATTTTATTCAACACCCTCCCATCTCATCCCATCCCATCCCCCAATCTCACGTGAGATTTTATTCAACACCCTCCCATCTCATCCCATCCCATCCCCCAATTTCACGTGAGATTTTATTCAACATCCTCCCATCTCATCCCGTCCCATCCCCCAATCTCACGTGAGATTTTATTCAACACCCTCCCATCTCATCCCGTCCCATCCCCCAATCACACGTGAGATTTTATTCAACATCCTCCCATCTCATCCCATCCCATCCCCCAATCTCACGTGAGATTTTATTCAACATCCTCCCATCTCATCCAATCCCATCCCCAATCTCACGTGAGATTTTATTCAACACCCTCCCATCTCATCCCATCTCATCCCCAATCTCACGTGAGATTTTATTCAACACCCTCCCATCTCATCCCATCCCATCCCCCAATCTCACGTGAGATTTTATTTAACACCCTCCCATCTCATCCCATCCCATCCCCCAATCACACGTGAGATTTTATTCAAAACCCTCCCATCTCATCCCATCCCATGCCCTAATCTCACGTGAGATTTTATTCAACACCCTCCCATCTCATCCCATCCCATCCCCCAATCTCACGTGATATTTTATTCAACACCCACCCATCTCATCCCATCTCATCCCCCAATCTCACGTGAGATTTTATTCAACACCCTCCCATCTCATCCCATCCCATCCCCCAATCTCACGTGAGATTTTATTCAACACCCTCCCATCTCATCCCATCCCATCCCCCAATCTCACGTGAGATTTTATTCAACACCCTCCCATCTCATCCCGTCTCATCCCCCAATCTCACATGAGATTTTTCAAAATGTTGGTTTTTCACGTAAACGCGTTGGATTGTTATTGCAAAAAGAAAAAAAATCCATGTGCATGTACAATTAAATCTTAAGCATGTACAATCTGGAACAAATGAACTATGAAGTCGGTAAAAATAGTATAATTTTTTGGTTTCTATCAGAAAAAAATTACGTGATATTTGCCGAGACCCCCCTCTCTCCAACGTAAGATTAGATGAGATTTGAGTCTACCCCCTCCCCCCTTAAGCATCTCACGTAATTTATGGACGTCCCCTAAGAAAACAAAGATAGATTCAGTACAGAGACAGTAGCTATTGTTATACTGAATTGTATGCTTTGTAACGAAGCCATATCTTTTGTAACCATTGGTCGGCTCTAGACAACCAATAATGGGTACTGGCTCGGCCTCCTATACAAAAAAGGGTAAGCTATGAGCTCCACATTTTTTTTAAGGGGAAAGGTTATCGAATTACTTCTCCCGCCTGTGTGAGGCGGGAGGGAGTGTCAGACTCTTACTGACTAAAAACCACCCCGTTCCTTCTCCTGCACTTCGAACCGGTGCCCCGGTAACCCGTTAAGTCCTTCGCGACTCCGTATGCTTATACGGATTTCGTGGAGCTTTCCACACTTAGCAACCGAATTGGAGATTAGAGTCTAAAAGCATCAGACTTGTCAAATACCATTGCTAGGTATCTAGTTTCTCCTAAATATGCAATCCCGTACTCCGGGTATGTGACACCCACATGAAGAGGAGAGCTGGTGTAATATATATTCTACTTAAAACCTTACCTTACGATATCTCTCATCCTTCTCCTTTCCACTACACGTCTCCCTCTCTAGTAACTCCTTCAGTCTATGGACTTCTAGCTTAAGAGCCTCTTCTCTCGTGTCTACTCTTTGGAGTTGCAAAGTTAGAGATTGCACTGAGCGCTGCTGTTCAGTGACCAGTCCTCGAAGCTGTTGGAGTTCGGCTACTTGAGCTGGTGATGGTTTAGGGTCCGATTTGAGCTGGTCTACTGTGGCTGTTAGCTGTGGAAAAGATGACGTTTGGTAAAGTACTTGAAACTTTATGTTTTTACTAGCGGACCCAACAGACGTTGTCCTGCATATCCACTTGAATGTATAAACAAAAAATCATTCAAATTAGTTCAGATGTTTAGGTATACATAACCTAAACATCGACTGCAGCCCCATCTGCCGGGCTGATTTGTGAATCTAAACCATTCCCAGATCCTGAACACACATAAAAAAATTCATCAAAATCGCTCTAGTGGTTTGAGAGAAGTTCAGTGACATACACACTCACAGAAGAATCCTTACTAATATTATAAATCTGAAAGTGAGTTTGTTTGTTTGTTCCGCTTTCACGCCGTAACTACTCAACCGATTGCTTTGAATTTTTGCAGACGTAAAGTTAGAAGTCTGGATTAAATAATAAAGTACTTTTTATCCCGGAAAAATTTAATATTCTCGAAGGAAAACGAAATTATTGGTATAGATGGCGCTGTGTGTATTGGTATATGTCACATAGGCTACTTTTTATCCTTTTGTGACGCGAGCGAAGCCGCGGGTAAAAGCTAGTTACCTATAAATATAAAGATAAGTAACGGGCGGGTATAATTTCAGATTTTAACGCCTTCGGCCTGACCACGTGGATCGGCGGCGCCGTTTCGAGACCACGAACAGAGGCGTTCGCCGCCGCGACCATAGAGCATGTTAATATAAGAGGTGGAACATAGAATTAACTAAAATCGCGGGTTACTCACGTGAATATACTGTGAAAAGCTCTACTAGTTTCGAACCACAGAGGGGTTCTTCCTCATGAGCAGCGTGCGCGGTCGCGACAATGTCGCGCAGCTCACTCAAGTAGTACTAGTAGAGCTTTTCTCAGTATATTCACGTGAGTAACCCGCGATTATTAGTTAATTTAGTATGTCTCACGATAGTTAAACGATAGTTAGTTTCCTTATTCATATCATACGACATGATAAAATAAGGGTGGGTGTCAAAGACCCGCGGTAAGGGAAGAGACAGTGACTGGTGTCAATGTGTTATATAAGCCGGTAACGCACTTGTAACGCCTCTGGTGTTTCAGGTGTTCACGGGCGACGCCGATTGCTTACCATCACGTGATTTATCTGCTCATTTATCGACTTATCCCATAAAAAATCTAACCTCTTTATTATGTTTCTCAGCGTCTCGCGCCCGTTTCTCCAATTCCCTCATCTTCCACTCGCAGTCTGCCAGCATGCGCTCAGCTCGCGCGGCCGCCTGCGACCGAGCCGCCTCGTGGGCAGCGCGCCATTTGGTCGTGCATGCTTCTGCCGCTGATAATGCCTGGGAATTAAACATAACATCACGCCTTATTTTTAACGTATTTATTCACATAAATCCATACTAATATTATAAATCTGAAAGTGAGTTTGTATGTTTGTTTGTTCCACTTTCACGACGTAACTACTGAACCGATTGCTTTGAATTTTTGCAGATGTAAAGTTAGAAATCTGGATTAAATAATAGTGTACTTTTTATCCCGGAAAAATTGATATTTCCTAGGAAAAACAAAAATATTGGTATAGATGGCGCTGTATATACTGGTATAGATGGCGTTGTATGTCATTTAAAACCAGTCAACGAATTACCTACTTATTGGAAAAATCTAAATAGCGCGTTATAACAGAATTCCACGCGAGCGGAAAGCTATTTGTTTGTTTGCCTGTCTTAAACGGCAGAACGGAGGTACTGATTAACATGATTTTTTAACTGAAGGTAGTTGAACGGATGGATAGTCACATAGCCTACTTTTTATCCTTTTGTCACGCGAGCGAAGCCGCGGGTAAAAGCTAGTTATACATAAATTAACTTATACATCAAAAATCGCCACACTGTATAACACTTTGTTGGCGATAGTGGCGCTCTTATATTATACAATAAAGTTACTAATACTATTAATCTATATAAATACTATACTATTAATGAATATGTACATATTATCTTTAGTTTTTTTTATGTCTATTAACTTTAATTTTTTTTAATACTTATGTATCTAACATATTTAAAAATTCCTTTTTTAGTCTTTTTTTTAGTTTAGTTTTAGTTTTTTTATCCCCGAAGGGATAAGCAGAGGTGTACCTACATTATGCCACTGTACAATGTAACACCCACTTTTCACTATTTATATTGTTAATGCCTGGAAATTAAGTGATTTTATTTGTGAAAAGGAGTTTTTTTTGGTGATGTAAAACCTGCTTATAAAACAATTCATACAATATAATACTATACCTATACTATACCTACATACCAAATCTCATCTTTTCATACTAATATTATAAATCGGAAAGTGAGTTTGTTTGTTCCGATTTCACGCCGTAACTACTAAACCCATTGCTTTGAATTTTTGCAGACGTAAAGTTAGAAGTTGATATACCCGACAGAAAACAAAAGTATTGGTATAGATGGCGCTGTGTGCATGGTATATGTCAATGTCATAGGCTACTTTTTATCCTTTTGTGACGCGAACGAAGCCGCGGGTAAAAGCTAGTAATATATACAATTAAAATAGATATAACTACTTATTACCTCCTGAGCCTTCTGCTCTTGCAGTATCTTCTCCTGCTCGAGCCGTTCCTTGTCTCGCTCGAGCGCCAGCACTCTGGACTCAAGCTCTGCTCGCTGTCCGAGCACATCTTCTAATTCTGCACGAATCTGGCGTAGTGATTCATCTGGAAGTTGGAGATTTGGGGTTTAATTGTAGAATTTATAACATAACATAATATCACGCCCTTTATCTCCGAAGTGATAGGCAGAGGCTTACATTATGGCACTTAATGCTACTGTACAATATAACACCTAGTTTTCACTATTTATGTTATGAGTCCCATGTAATAGGGGATGAGCCTATTGCCATATAGGTACCAGGCACATTTCCAGACTCCGTGCTATTACTGAGATTTTTAAAAACCCAATAATATTTCACTATTTTCACTATTCATGTTATGAGTCCCATGTAATAGAGGTTAAGCATATTGATGACATCGCCAGAGTTGTGAAGAGCCAGTGGATGCGGGTGGCGAGTTGTCGTTCGACGTGGAGGGCTAAGGGGGAGGCCTTTGTCCAGCAGTGGACGTCTTCCGGCTGTTGATGATGATGATGATGATGATATTGCCATGCTACTACTGAGATTCGTTTTAAAAAACCCAATGATTCTTTGCCCGACCCGGGAATCGAACCCGAGACCTCCTGGCTGTCGCACTTGCGACAACTCGGCCAACGAGGCAGTGTAGTATTTAAAAATGTAGTGGTGTTATATATTACCATTCCGCCTGTGCAATTGGTCAGCGAGGTTTGAGGAGCAGGTCCTGGCTGCCGTCAGCTCCTCTTCCAATGATCTGCTCCTCTGCCGGACCAGTTCGGACTCCTTGTATGCCGCTGCGAGCTCGCATTTTAATTCTGAAACAAGATAATGCTAGTATCAACAAATCTATAATCTGTGTTTTTACAATTTTTGTGTCTTTTTTTATCTCAAAAGACGGTAAACAAGCAGACGGATCACCTGATGGTAAGCAATCGGCGTCGCCCATGCACACCTGGAACACCAGAGGCGTTACATGTGCGTTACCGGCTTTTTGGGGATTAGGAGTTTGAGGATCGTTGGGGATTCAGGGATTGGGGACATTGGGAATGGGGAGAGTAATTGGGCCTCCGGTAACCTCACTCACACGACGAAACACAACGCAAGCGTTGTTTCACGTCGGTTTTCTACTCGGCCGTGGTATCACTCCGGTCGAGCCGGTCTCAAAGTCTGTCTGTCTGTCTGTTTGTATTGGCTAATCTCTGAAATGGCTGGACCGATTTTGCAAGGCTTTTATTGGCAGGTAGCTGATGTACTAAGAAGTAACATAGGCTACTTTTATTTTGGAGAATTGAAACAATAAAATTAAAAAAAGTTATGTTTTAAAATTCATATTCTACGCGAATGAAATCGCGGGCAACAGCTATTTATAGTAATTTTCTTGAGACGTACTATATTGATTACTTAGCAGCAGTGTGCTTCTTTATATGTTCTATGAGTGTGACAGTCGCCGCGTCGTGTGTAGCGGAATGCTGCTCATGAACTTGAGTTGCATGGCTTACAACTGAATGTGAAACAACACTTGCGTAGTTATTCGTCATGTGAATGATTACTCTACCAAATCCCATCCCCAACAACCCTTAAATTCATATCCCCAAAAGGCCGATAACGTAATTTTCACTTTTTATGTTATGGTGCCATATACCGGGCACAATTCCAGACTCCGTGCCTCTACTGAAAATTTTTTAAACCCAGTAATACTTTGCCCGACCTCGAATCGAACTCGAGACCCCTTGCCCGGCAGTCGCACTTGCGACCACTCGGCCAACGTGGCTGAGACAGGCAGTGTTGCAATTGTGTACTTGCCAACTAGTCAAATTCAATACTTTTTTCGAACTGTCAAAAATAATTTTGTACGAGATTGTGTATTGTGACGTCACGTTTTTATAGCGTCAAACAGCATACTTATTTTTTAAAAGATAGCTAGAAAAATACTAAAATCAAGTTGGTCATAAAATCAATTAATGAAAGTGTGATTATTTTTTATATTAGAGGTATATTTATTGAACAGTCGAAATAATTTATTTTTGATTAAGGTAAGTACGCAATAGGGTAGATGCCTAATTTTATTTTACTGTCCGTCTGGTAGATTATTTTAAATCATTAGACACGTAGTTTTTATTTTCTTACAGAAACGAATACTTTCGACGATATATTGATTTGAAATGTCACGTGACGTCACTTCTATGTACATTATACACGTAGAAATGACGTTTTAGCCCCCACTCCTAAACTTCGACTCGTTTTATATAAGTATTGTTTTCTTATACGACAAAATAAAAAAATACGTGTCTAATATGAGTGCACGGTTGGTGCGGTGGCTGGGCAACCGGCTGCCGTGCAACGTGTCGCGGGTTCGATTCCCGCACGGAACAACACTTTATGTGATCCACAAATTGTTGTTTCGGGTCTGGGTGTCATGTGTATGTGAACTTGTATGTTTGTAAACGCACCCACGACACAGGAGATAATCCTAGTGTGAGTCAACGTTTTTTTTTTAAAAAAATTGTTTCATTACCTAACTTACGGACTAATTAGATTTTTAATTTTCATACCCTGTCATCATCCCAATTATATATTAGTAATACCGATCCCATTCTCAGAATCCTTTAACGTCATTTTCATGATAGTAAGCAACTCGAGAAGTTATTTCTTAGCGTGGGAGTAAAGACATTGCATCAGATAGGTACAAATATAGCTCGCATCAGAAACTTCTGGACACTTTAATTACGGGAAGCAATTTATATATGATTTTGGCTTGAAAAACATCCTTATGTCGTGTAATTAATTTATATTATATGTTTAGACTTTTTTTTATTTTAAGGGGGGAAAATCATCGAATGACTGCTCCCGCCTGGGTGAGGCGGAAGGGAGTGTCAGACTCTTACTGACTAAAAACCACCCCGTTCCTTCTCCTGCACGTCGAGCCGGAGCCCCGGTTACCCGTTAGGTTCTCCGCGACTCAGAATCGGCATTAGCCCTTTCCGTATCGGCCTTAGTCGGCTCTCAAGACACAGATCGGTGGTGACTGACACATGGATTCCATTCTGTCGTCACTACATGACTCAAGTTTGTTCCGAAAATATTTTCTCTGTGTACTCTTTCAACGAAAAACGAGCAAGAATTTATGTGTGAGTATACCTACAAAATACGACTAAGAAGTATATTTATCATGGCTTTCTACATCTCATTTATAAAGTCAATCTACATAAAAATAACAATTAAGTCTCTCATTCACAAACATTACAGTCACATTGAATAAATCTTTCAAAATGGCGTCGGTATCAATCGAAACTTTTCAAAATAACCCGTTAAGAATTCGAACGGCAGCCATCTTTCTTTTCTCGGTCGTCAAATGTCAAATTAGGATCACTTTGGTTGAATTAATGGATTTTATTGAGCCGTTTGATTAAAGCGATGGGATACGTGGCTATGTCGTTTCTTTTTATGAGACAAGCCCGCCACGACCTCCCAGAACTGCTGCAACTCCTGTGCATCAGGTTCAACAGTAAATACAACAATGCAAACACCGAAACGCTGAAGTCCGGCACGTCCCAGGGACATAAACAATTTTAGATCGCACAACGAAATAAATGATAAGATATTATTAGAGAAAAGAAAAGAAAAAAAACCAGAATATGCGACTGTCAATGTCAAAGTAAAGACTCATTTATTTGATTCTATATAACACTACATCTTTTAACCATCGAAAGGATTTATGAAACGTTGCCCCACTTCTAATAATAATAAATTATGAAGTCCAGGTTTCCTCACGATGTTTTCCTTCACCGTTTGCCAGTGGTGTCTAAATAATCTTAGAAAGTATATATAACTCTGAAAATATGATATTGGTACTTGCTGTTGGTAGGTTTCGAACCCGAATCTTCATGCATGACAAGCGGGCGTCTTAGACTTCATACGTCTCATATTTCATGTGATCCACAAATTATTGTTTCGGGTCTGGGTGTGTATGTGAACTTGTATATTTGTAAACGCACCCACGATACAGGAGAAAGACCTAGTATGTAATGGGGCTACATAAAAAGAAAGAAACATTGGAAACGGGCTCCCATTCATTGTGTGCTCTAGTACCGCAGCGTCCGCAGCATAGTCTAAGATGACTATTCGGCCAGTGTATCCTTACTATATAATATTATAAATCGGAAAGTGAGTTTGTTTGTGCCGCTTTCGCGCCGTAACTACTAAACCGATTGCTTTGAATTTTTGCAGACGTGAAGTTAGAAGTCTAGATTAAATAATAGGGTACTTTTTATCCCGGAAAAATTTGATATTCTCGAGGGAAAACGAAATTATTGGTATAGATGGCGCTGTGTGTATTGGTATATGTCACATAGGCTACTTTTTATCTTTTTGTGACGCGAGCGAAGCCGCGGGTAAAAGCTAGTAATGTATATTTGTTTGGAATTCCTACCACGTCATGGATCTCGAAATAACTTAAAGAAATAAAGAAGTTTTCTTCCCTCATTGTTTTGAAAGTAAACAAAGAATTAGTGTCATTACTTTTGGCACAAGAGTAATTACCTAGTTCTCTTTGTCGGGAGTACCTACGCAAATATGTGTGTTTTGTAACATTCATAGGAATGGCACAAAAGATATAATTTAGAATGACATGTTTTGGCTAGAGTCACCTTGTATTACAAAGAGAAACAGGGATGACTGCGATTTCTTTAGTGGTGTGGTCTTAATGTCCCTGACCCGAAATCCCGACTTTACCGTAAAGTAAAAAATTGGTCGTATTTCATTTTCGAAAATTTCATAGTACTGGAGTAGTGCCCGAGTGTTGCAATAGCCTAACTGACTGCTTCGGCACAAATGGACCGGCTCGACCGGAGTGTTACCACAGCCTCACAGAAAACCGACGTAAAACAATACCTGCATTGGGTTTCGTAGTATGAGTGAGGTTACCGGAGGCCCAATTACTCCCCCCCTCTCCAATCTCTCCAATTCCTGAATCCCGAATCATCCTCAAATTTATAATCCCCAAAAGGCCGGTAACGCACTTGTAACGCCTCTGGTGTTTTTAAGTCCAGTATTTGGCTTACTTTTTTTATCTACTGAAGCATTATCTTCTTGAATTTTTGCATATATTAAACAGGGAATATGGCGGCCGTAAGATCACCTCCAATGGTTAGATACTAGTGTCAATAAACTTGTAGTTCAGAAACTAAAAACACGCTTTTAATAAGATGTTTTCTTCAAGAGAAATGAACGAATGTTTCTAATGAGCTCAAACCGGATATAATTTACTAGTACATTTCCATCAGCCACCTTCCAATTCCATCATCAAACCAGCTGGAAGGCACCATAATATTGTATTGTCATCTAATCTACATACAATTGCCAAGTTTCACAATGATACAACAGTTACAAGTGTGTGTAATTCAGATTCTTAGATTTTGTTACATAGTTTGTTACAGGTCGACCTAAGAAAAGTGTCTTGAGCTATTTTAGTTAAAAAACTTACGCTGTAAATTAACTAACAATCGCGGGTTACACACGTGAATATACTGACTGATGTCGCGTAGCCTATCGGCGATATACCGCGCACGCTGCTCATGAGAAAGAGGGTATAACAGAGTCTGTATTTCCTGAAGGGTTTAACTTGGGAGTCTTCAAGGCCCGAGTGAATAGGTTGCTTATGGGACGACGTGCTCCATCGTAGACCGCACTAGGCGAGATAGTGGTCAAACGTCGGCCCATCAAATATATAAAAAAACCCCTCTGTGGTTCGAAACTAGTAGAGCTTTTCTCAGTATATTCACCTGAGTAACCCGCGATTTTTAGTTAATATGCTACGTTCCTAAAGTCAAAGTCAAAGTCAACACGACATTTTAAACGATATATTGATTTGAAACGTCGTGTGACGCTGACGTCACAGCGTGCAACAAAATGTAGCACGTTGTGACGTAACTACCTCCCATTTGTAAACTTAACTCCATTTTATCTCAGTATTGTAGCTTTATACGAGAAAATAAAAAAATACGTGTCTAATATTTTTTCATTATCTAATTGACGGACTAATTAGATTTTTAATTTTGATACCCTGGAAACTACCCAATTCAGTATGTCTCACGATAGTTATTATAAAAAAAACAACTCACGTTGTATTTCCTGCTCCTTTTCTTCGATTTCTTTTCTATACGCAGCAATCAGTTCCCTCGTTTTTTCTGCTTCAGAACATCTTGTGTCTTCTAAGTCTGTCAGAGAGGCAACCTGCGACTGGAATTTTGAGTCCTGGGATACTAAAGTTTTCCTGTAAAAGACAAAAAAGTTCAATGTTACTTTATTTTTGACAACTATAGCGATTCTGTCGAAGTGATCCGATAGAGAATCAAAGTTATCGATAAACGATATAGCCCAAGGGATTAGTAAGGTGAAGTGGCAGTGGGCCGGTCACATGAAATCTCCCCAATCCCTGAATCTCAAAAGGCCGGTAACATAGTTTTAAGATATCAAAGCAAGTTCCTAACGTTCAATAAACTCTACTGTTTTATCACATGTTTACTAATATCTATACTTAATACAGTGAAACTTAGTTAAGTGGGACCTGGACTGGATTAGTGAGAAACCTACATAACTGGAACTCATGCTGAGGTCCCAACACTTTGGCACTGAACTACCTCTGTTACTGGGACGAGGTAAACCTCTATATCTGGGATTTGTTCTTTAGATTTATCATCATAGTTATCCCTATAACTGAGATAACATTGTTTGTTTACTCATTCTTATTCTACCCACAAATTCCACACGTAATTCCAAGTCCACCTCTATTAATGGAACCCTCTGTAAATGAGACAGATATATTTATTTATATACCTGTATATCTGAGACACTGGGTAAGTGGAATACCTCTTTAGGTGAAACGACATTGAAGGTCCCTTGATGCCTCAGTTAATTTGTTTGGTCGGGCTAATCTCCGCAGTTCCTGGTCCGAATTCAATAATTCTTGGTATGTTACATACATCCATCATACTCATACATCAACAGCCTATAAGTGGCCCCTGCTGACTAAAGAGCTCTCACACGGAGAAGGTTTAAGCATTAACCACTACGCTTGCTCAATGCGGGTTGGCGATTACAAACTTAGAATTAGAAATTAAAAGTCCAGGTTTCCTCACGATGTTTTTCCTCCACCGTTTGTCAGTGGTGTCTAATAATCTTAGAAAGTACATATAACTCGGAAAAAGTCATTGGAACTTGCCGTTGGTAGTTCAAGCTCTGCATGCTACATGCATGATAAGCGGGCGTCTTAAACCTCCGAGCCACTACGACGGGATGGTATGATGGATAGCCTATTTATCGAAGAAGACTATAGGCTATGAAACATCACGATATAATCACAATAGTAGCGGGCGAACTCGTAGGGGAGTAGTCGGTACAAAATGAATATAAAAACCAAACAGTTATCGGAACGATTACGGCCACCGTAAGCGCGGGCCTGCGGACGGCGAGCATGGGTGGCTCGCTGCCCGACCAGACCCGAGTGTAAGGCGCGTCGCATTCCGCGCGCGCCTCAAAGAGCCATCAGACCACCACAGATGGGGCCCAATAGGGCTGATGCTGATACGGAGCCGCGGAGAACTTAACGGGTTACCGGGGCTCCGGCTCGAAGTGCATGAGAAGGAACGGGGTGGTTTTTAGTCAGTAAGAGTCTGACACTCCCTCCAGCCTCACCCAGGCGGGAGAAGTCATTCGATAATTTTCCCCCCTTGAAAATAAAACAGTTATCGGAACATCTTAATAAATCTTTCACAAAATCAAGGGAGAACACAGACAAGAACTGGTTAACAGTAAATCCAAACCAGATGTATCTAAAATTAGACCATTTAAACCACACTTGAAACTTTGCCTTGCCTAGATTATATTTACGCCTGAATTTCAACCTGAATTTATTTATCTACTACTTGAGAGCGTCTGGTTTTCTGATAGTAAAATGATTCTGTATTTTAATGTGGTGTATGTTAGCGCTGGAAAACGGACACTTGCGTGCTGCCATCAGGACCAGGGTGCTTACTCTTGAAACCAATCTCAATGTCAATGCAATGTCAATCCAATAGAGGCTCAATAACTATTCAATGTCAAAATTATACAACCCCTATCGTAGCTGCTAAAGTAGCATTTAGAGTACGGAATATAAAACCAAACTCAATACCATTTAGTTCATAAAATATCCACGCAATACGGATGCAAAAGGCGCTAGTGTTACAACTCAAGAGTACGAAATTTCACAATACCAATGTCGATCGATCGGAATTGGATTCAAGAGTTAGCACCCTGGGGGGCTTACTCCGTATTGCGTCGATATTGAATGAACTAAATGGTATTGAGTTTGGCTTTATATTCCGTACTCTGAATGCTATTTCAAAAGCAGGTAGGGGATGTATATTGTTGACATTGAAGAATTATTGAGTTTGTATTGGATTGAAATTGCATTGACATTGTGATTGGTTTCACGAGTAAGCACCCAGGCAGTAGAATACATTTTTACACTGCTACTCTTCCCGCGGGTGTCGTATACCCGAACTAAGGGACTACATATTTGACAGATAGAACCTTTTATACTGCGATCTTTAACCGCATTTTCCCCGTGGCTTTTTTAAAATTGCTCACTAACAGCCCGGAGTCTGCAATGGTGCCCGGTAGGTATATGGCAATAGGCTCACCCCCTATTACATGGGACTCATAACATAAATAGTGAAAAGTGGGTGTTACATTGTACAGTGGCATTAAGTGCCGTAATGTGCACTTCTGTTTTTACCCTTCGGGGATAAAAGGCGTCGAATGTTATGTTATGATTTACCTAATACTAATAATGTTTTTTATACGTAAATATACCTACAATAAAGTAAAACTGTTACACTGAAAACAAAAATAAACATGTTTTTGTAAAACCATATTATTATAATTTCATCATCACCAACAGCCCTAAATAGCCACTGCTGAGCAAAGCCTTTTCTCACAAGAAGAAGGTTTGAGCATTAATCACGACGCTTGCTCAATGCGGGTTGGTGATTTCAAACTTATAATTAGAAATTATAAGCCCAGGTTTCTTCACGATGTTTTCCTTCACCATTTGGCAGTGGTGTCTTTTTTTTTAAGGGGGGAAAATCATCGAATGACTGCTCCTGCCTGGGTGAGGCGGGAGGGAGTATCAGACTCTTACTGACTAAAAACCACCCCGTTCCTTCTCCTGCACGTCGAGCCGGAGCCCCGGTTACCCGTTAGGTTCTCCGCGACTCCGATTGTCGGTGGTGTCTAGATAATCTTAGAAAGTACATATAACTCGGAAAAAGTCACATTGGTACTTGCTGTTGGTAGGTTTCGGGCCCGCACCCTCGTGCAGGAGAAGCGGGCGTCTTAAACCTCCAGGCCACCACGACACCACGAAACCATATTATTTGTTATCTATAATATAATAATATTGTAATGAAAGGTCACGTATTTTGCAGGAAACTATCCTATTTTAATCTATATATATAAAAGAAAGACGTGTTAGTTACACTATTTATAACTCAAGAATGGCTAAATCGATTTGGATGAAAATTGGTGGGGAGGTAGCTTAGAACCAGGAGACGGACATAGGATACTTTTTACCCAATTCTTTTATTTTACTTTTTACCGAAAATCAAGAACGGGAACGGGAAATATCGGGATTGCGCGTACGAAGTCGCGGGCAGAAGCTAGTTAGATATAATAAATGCATTACTTTTTGTCAAAAAGTCAAAATAATTAATTTCAATCAGACAAGGAAGGCAATTTTGAACGTCAAAACGAATTATAAAAGGAAAAATGTCGGTCCTCTAGTTGCTCTATTTGCTCGTCCCAAGGTGTAGATTCCTGTGGAGAAGAACGAGCAAGAAAGAAACTCCATAGGTTACTCTTTGTCAATCAGTTTCACAATACAATTCTTGGTTACATTGTTTCGTTGGTTCAATTATGTGAGAACAATGTAACACCAAAATCCAGTCAATGAGATCGAAAAAGAAAATAACATTAAGGACAATAAATAATGCAGGCTAAAGCTGACCAGTCCCAGTTGACGGCGCCCGTTCACGAACATGACACGTACACCAGCACCGCCCAACTCAACCATATTGTAGGGAATCGAGCGATTGCAGCGATGCATTGTGTGTACTATGTTTATTACTACAATCAGGCCAAAACAGCTGAAGGGATGACAATGAAATTCCGAACAGAGGGGTAGATTAGAGTATGGAATAACAAATAGGCTACTCAACTTGAAGCAACGCTTGCGTTGTGTTACGTCGTGTGAGTGAGGTTACCGGAGGCCCAATTACCCTCCCCTTCCCCAATCTCCCCAATGCCTGAATCCCCAACGATCCTCAAACTCCTAATCCCCAAAAGGCCGGTAACGCACTTGTAATGCCTCTGGTGTTCCAGGTGTCCATGGGCGACGCCGATTGCTTACCATCAGGTGATCCGTCTGCTTGATTACCGGCTATGCTATAAAAAAAAAACTTTTAATCCCATTGGCACGCGAGTGAAGCCACTGTCGAAAGCTAGTTTCATAATATATCACAAATTAACGTAATTTGTTTACAGCTTCACTTCTCGTCAGATATTAATAAAAGGGCCAAGCAGAACCCATTGCCATTCATCGGGCACAATTCCAAATTCCGTGAAAAAACTGAGAGTTTTAAACTGAGAATCGGAAAAACATGATTAGGTACTTAACTTGTACTTAAGGTTTGGAACACAAAACTTCTAACTGGAAATTGTATTTACAATTATAAGTGACCCCTAATAGTATAAGTAAGGCGTTAGTTTAGGTGCTACGTAATTTTTAGTTTAAAGAAGTTTTGCAAGTTAATATAATAACTCAATAAATCATTTTACAACAAATTGACAACAAATATACAACACTTTACATCGTAAAGGAGACGGATACCCTTTCATACAATTTTGGGCCTAGATGTAAAAAGATGAAATTAGTGTCAATTGATAGCTACTATATAAGCAAACAATCACTGAAAATTTTGCAGATTTTGGCAATCTGAGAGCCGAGGTATAAGAGATTTAAGAAAAGTGAGGTTCTAACAATATATACACGGTAATAACCCATTTTTAAAGTGCAATTGTTGTTAGTGTATTGCAGCGACTAGTCGCTATACAACAATTTATACAACGATCCATGATGTCGATCAATATCCTATTGGTAGGCCGTTCGTAGAATCCAAAATAACAAGTCCAAGTTCAACGTTTAAGCGGGGTTCTCGGTGTCCAGTATGGTAG